ATAGGATTGATATAAATAGAGAAGATCAATGTCCAGCATGCACGAATGGAGATCAGCCAAGCGGCGCACATAAATGTTATAATATATATGCTAAAAAATGTGCATGCACTTGATTTCTGTTCTACCCCAATTAGAGAAGGATATGTACAGAAAAGAATTTGTAAAAATTACCAAAACAGTAACGTACAAAGTATAATCACATCAAGAGGAATAGAAGCTATCTTCTACTACGCTATCGTGGCCTTGCAACAACCCAAAAATCATAAAAGCAACACAGAGGCAGATATTTACAAGGAAAGAGTATCGAAAATAAATTTTTATTAAAAAAAATATATGTAAGATACCTATTATAAAAAATGGTGGTAATATAAACATAAAAGCAGTAACGTATGATAAAAAACCTTATTTTTTTACAAATACTTGTGCTTTTGATAGTATTTTCCAACTCTTCATCGCTGCATATTTAGATAAAGATAATATGTATTAAAGTATTTATTAATACTGAATCTATTGTTATAGCCCGAAAGGCTATAATTATAAATATAGCGGATATAAAATATAGAATTACTATACTTTTCGCGAGGAGACCGCTGATACAGCAGCGGGCCGGAAATCGCAAAGACGCAAGCTAAGAGCTTCATCTTTTGAGCAGCTTTGCGCTCAAAATCTAGCCGTGTAAGCAAAAACTATTCACCAATCGGGTGCCTGTCGCCAGGCACCCCTTCCAAACAAAATAACGAAAAACTGAGTTCACGTAAAAACTCGGGAACGAACAGAGAGCGAGTTAAACTAAACCAACCACCCGAGTCACATCAAGAATAACTCTCGACTCGCAATCAGACGAGTCGTTAACTAGCGTTCGAATAAATCCAGAGTCGCTCTCGAGTCGTTAATTAAGAGTAACCTCGCTAAGTAAAACCGCGTGCGATCTATAACATCTTATCGCATTCGCGCGCGCGATTCACAAAGTCATACGTAATCGCTTCCGCTCAACTAGTTAAGTAACTACAAAGTGTAATATTGTGAAAATAAAGATAACGTCAAGTGTTTAGTTCAAATAAAAGCTCTTTAATAGTGAGAACGTGAAGTGAATTAATACAATAACCCCGATCCAAACTCTGACGCCCCGGATCCTCATCCTAATTTGGCGCGACCCCTTGTGCCCGACCCGAGGCACACAACACTATTAATATATTTTTTAAATTAATTTGTGATATGGTATCTTATGGTGTACGTAAATCATCTTATAAATTACGTACTAAAATTTTAAAGCAAATATTTTCAAACAGTACTTTATCAAATAATTGTATTCTAATAGATTGTCAAGTGGCTTTTTGTTTAGGAAATTATTTATACAGCATCCAACGTTCCGGGAAATATCAAGATATTCTAATTGTTGCACAGAAAGATTGAAAGTGCTTTTATTGGTCAATGTTGAATTCAATTCGTTAATACGCAAGGACTTTGCACAATTAGAAATGAATATTATTCTACAACCACAACAATGCAATCAAACAAACTATGATGGCCTCGAAATTACATCAATTTTGCATACAGGTATTAATTTTTAATTATTAATTGCATTAATATAATTAATTATATAATTTTACCTTTTCGCGTAATTTTTAAAATTTATTACGATTATATTTTTGTTCACTAAAAAATTATGAAGTTTTTTAAGTTATTTATAATTATTCAAAAAAATAAAATTATTAATGACTATGTTACGTCCAGACTCAATAATTAATAACAATCGAAGGAAGGGCGTAACGATATTTTTCTTGAATAACGCTGACCGGTGCGTTTGCTCAAGCCAAGCGAACCTGGAAGAACCGAAATAAGTCAATGACCAGAAGGGTCACTTTTACTTTATTTACAGCCCGTTCACTCGGTGGTCCCTTTTTAGCAAGAGAATTTAACCTCTTTTGCATAGGATGGAACCTTGTGCGATTATTGGTGTTGGGAAAAGAACGAAAGAGGGTTTATTTAATTTATTTCAATCTAACTAAATAAGTGCAGATTGATAGGTAGACAATATATTTATTATTTTCATTATCAAATTTATTACAAAATCACGAAGCAAAAAATATTTATACATAAAATAGTATATTAGCTGACAAGTGCGGGGGATCGTAAATAAAACCGATCGTGCGGATTGTCACACTCGGCTTCGCCTCGTGCGCCAAACTTCCGCACTCTCGGCCGATTTATGACCCGCACATGTTGGCTACGATATTTTGTGTGACTGGTGCGTGGAAAGGGAGCCCTTTCTAAAATCCTATCATGTGCGTAAAGGGCGACTTTTCGCGCGTCGGTTGCACAAAATATATTTAAATCCTATTCAAATATACATAACAGTGGCATAGGTGTGTGTGTTTCACGGGTGACACATTAATACGGAGGCCTTCAATCAGGAGTAGTGGGGAGAGAGTTATTGTTAAAAGAGAGTTAAGTGTCTCGATTGGTTATTACAATTTATGTTTATATACATGTTTTACTAATCATTGCAACTTGAGCCACTTTTTGCCTTAAACGGCGGTTCCGTCGATTCCGCGCGCGTTTCGCCCCATCTCGTGAGCTTCGGGTTAGTGAGTTTCCACTAAAAATAACAATAATAAGAGTTTGTCGCAAAGAGAAAAAGTTCAAATAATTTTTGGAGTATTCGTTTATTGTTTGACTTTGCTTTATTGCGAATAGAGGGACGGGAGTAAGAGATTGAAGAAGACATGGAAGAGCCTAAGCAATTCCTGAAGAAAAGGAAGGAAGGAAGAAATTACGGATCTCGCCGTTGACACGGGAGAGTCTAAGCGATTCCTCAAGAAAGATGAAGAGAGAAGAAATCGCGGATCTCGCCATTGATACGGGAGAGCCTAAGCGATTCCTCAAGAAAGATAAGGAGAGAGGAAATCACGGATCTTGCTGTTGATACGGGAGAGCCTAAGCGATTCCTCAAGAAAGGTGAGGAGGGAAGAAATCACGGATCTCAGCGTTGATACGGGAGAGCCTAAGCGATTCCTTAAGAAAGGTAAAAAAATGTTATGGAGAAAACTGGGCATAATAAGCATTGATAATATTTGAAAATAATTTTTATTAAAATTTTTAATTTTATTATTTAATTATATTTTATTCATTGCTTAATTATTTACAAATTTATGTGCAATTTAGTAATTTCTAATTATACCTTTCAGATATTAGTCGCGCATAACAACGTGAACTGTTTATTTATATTATGCAGTTTAAATAATTATCAAAATTATTTACATACAGGGTGTCCGGTAACTAACGGACCAATGATTAAGGGCGGATTCTCTGGTCAATTTGGAGACAATTTTTCCTTAGCAAAAATGTTAAGAAGTCAATAATTTTCGAGTTATAAGCGATTGAAAAAAATGGATTTTTTGAAAACTAAACGTTAACTATGCTAAACGTAAACTAACTAAACTAAACGTTTGGAGTTAAAAGTCTAACACAATTACATTCTTCAATTAATTTTCGGTAGAGTTTACTATAATAAAATTTTAATTTGAGGCTTAGTTATAAAGAACATAATGACAAATATTAGAAAGTTGTAAAAAATGATGACCTTCCCAAATTGACTAAAGAATCCATTTATAATCGTTGGTCCGTTAGTTACCGGACACCCTGTATATACTTAAGAAACATTAATTATATTTGAAGGCTTTGCAAAAATATTAGATATATAAAAATATTAATTTTTTTGCAAATTAGAACAACTATGATTATGTATGCAATATTTATTATGTTACTGATTATATTTTAAAATATTACATATTTTAAATATTACATATAATGTAATTAACAAAAAGTATATCCTTCAAATACAAGTCGCGCCTAAACGTGAACTGTCTTTCGTTTTATGTAAATAAGATGATAAATTATTAAATAAAGTTACACATGTAAATTGATAACAAATGAAGGATACGTGCGATGATTTAACAATTAGTATTAACCCAATAAACACTAGAATAGCACCCTTCTTTCCTCTCCTTCCAGTCCTCTCCATATCACGCTTCTTTTCCTTTGTCTCCTTTTTTTCTGTTCTTCCCTCTTCCTCTCCGCTCTTTTTTTTCTTCTTTTTCTCCCATTCTTTTCTTCTTATCTTCTCCCTTTATTCTAAAGCCCTGCCCTCTTACCCTCACCCTTTTCTCCCTCCTATTACCTCTGACTCGACCTATTTTCTTCCATTTTCCCTACTTATTTTTTATCTCTCTCACTCTCCCTTATCCTTTCTTTCCTTCCCATCTATCTACATTCTTTTTCCTCTAACTTTTACTTCCCTTCCCCTTCCCCTTTCTATCCTTGCCCTTTCTATCATTAGCCATCTGATCCTTCTTTCCTCCCTCGTTAAATCTTCGTCTATCCTTATCTCCCACCTTCTCCACATTATTCTTTCTTTTTCCAAAAGCTCTTTCTAATCCCTTTCCTCTTCCATTTCTACTATGACCAACATCTTCCCGTCATCCCCCTTCACCTCCATCGAATCCTCGATTCCTGCCTTTCTATCTAATACTATCTCCATCAACCTCTCTAATAGCTCCCTTTTTTCCTCTTGTCCTCTCTTTCCAGTTCTTTCCATATTACGCTTCTTTTCCTTCGTCTCCTCCTTTTCTGTTCTTCCCTCTTCCTCTCCGCTTTTTTTTCTTCTTTCTCCTCCCACTCTTTTCTTCTTCTCTTCTCCCTTTCTTCAATCTTTCTCCATTTTTTCTCTTTTTTCCTCCACTTTTCTTCTCTTTTCTTTCTCCTCTTTTCTTGACTCCACTCTCCCCCTCTTCTTATTTCCTCTGTTCTCATCCTTATACCTCTTCCTTTCTCTCTCTTCTTCCTTCGCTCATCTTTCTCTCTTAAACCTTTTTTTTCTTCTCCCCAAGCTCCTTCTTCCTCTTCTATCCTCCTCTTCCTTTCCTTTCCCTCCTCCTTTTTTCCCTCCTTCTTCCTCCTCTCTTCTTCTCTCTCGCTTCCTTCTCTTACTTCACCATTCTTCACCATTCCTCCATCCTGTCTTCTTGACCCTCTTGTCCTAGACGCCTCACTCCTTCTTCTTCTCTGCTATTTTTGCCTTTATTCCTTTTTTCCATTTCTTCTTCCTTTTTCTCCTCTTCTTCCTCTTCCTTCTCTTCAGTCCTTCCAATCTTCTTTCCACTTTTTCTTCCCATCACTGCCATCCTTCTCTCTCCCTCACTTCCTTCCCCTTCCCCTTTACTCTCCTCATCTTTTTCTCTTTTCTTCACCACTTCCTCTTTCTTCCCTTCGTCTCTCTTCTTCCCTCTTTCTCTTTCCCCTCTACTTTCTCTCTTTTCTTCCTCCTTCTTTTTACTTCCTTTTCCTCTCTGCCCCTCTTCTTTCCTCTTCTTTTCTCTCTCCTCCTTTAGCCATCCTGTCATCTTTTCAACCACTTCAATCAGCTTAACCACTCTATCTTCTCTCCCCTTTTTCTTTTCCTTCTCTCTCTCCTCCTTCACCCACCTTAATATCTTATTCACCTTCGTATCCACCTTTTCCATTTTCCTACTCAATTCCTTCACCTCTTCCTTACATCCATAGATCTTATTTTTCGCTATCTTCCTTCTCTACACACACCTTCTTTATTCCCTCCCTCACTGCTCTTCTCTCTCGCCGCTTCTCCTCCTGTATCCTCCGACTCCTTTAACTCTAATGAATCCTCGATTTCTGACACTGCACTTAACCACACTTTCCTTTTGCTGTCCTTCCTCCGCTATTTTCCTTCCTCTACTGTTTTCTCTCGCCTTTCACGCTCTTTCTTTCTCTCCCTTCACCTCTCCTTCCTCTCCACCTGCTTCTATCTTCCGCAACTCTATACCACCACCTTAATGCGTAACTTATATCCTCCTTTGCTTCCTCACATAAGCCATGTGCATATCATGCGTGATCTTCTACGTGCACATTCCTTTCTTGCACGTGTTCCACCTGTTCTTCTCCCGTCATCTCTGGCGCCCTCTCTCTCCTATTGCCACTATCACGCTTCTTTCTTTACCATCCTCTTTTGCCTTTTTTACCGACTCTCTATTCTTCTTTCTATTATCCCCTTCCCCTCCCATACTCTAATTATTCCTTCTTTTCTTCTTTTAATTAACTCGTCACACCTTATAGCTCCTTTTTCCTCTTCTTCCTCTCTCGCTTGCTTTTCTCTCTCGTCTTCCTCTTTTAGCCGTGCGTCTTCTCATGCTGTCTGCCACGTGTCCGACTGTTCCACGACCCATCTCTGCTTCCAATTTTTTTCTCTTTCCTTCACTTCCACTTTTGTACTCGCCTTTTCCTTCTCTTCCTTTTTCTCTTTTCCTTCCTTCCTTCCTTCCTTTCTATCTTCCTTTCTTTCCTTTGCCGTGCATTTCCCTCGTGTCATTTACCACGTGTCGACTGTTCTACAGCATATCTTTGCTATCCTTTTATCCGTCTTCATTTCTCGTCTTCTTTCTCCATGTATCTGGAGTACCTCTCCATGTACCCCACCCACATTTCCCTTTATTCACCTCTGTCACCTTTTATTTCCACACTTTTTTCGAAGCACACCGCACAACGTCCTCATATTATATATATATATATATATATATATATATATATATATATCCTTCGCAAAATTGAAGATTGTGAATCTAATATAATAAATCAGTATTGAAAGAAACCTAACATTATTGATCTCAAAAACTATTTGATAAGTGTTTAACTAGAAGTTGGTTTGATTGAAAATTCAATCGATCTAAAGCAACTAAAGTCGACGACATGGTCGAATGAATTTTCAATCAAACCAACTTCTAGTTAAACACTTATCAAATAGTTTTTGAGTTCAATAATGTTTTAATAATGTTAGGTTTCTCTCAATACTGATCTATTATATTAGATTCACAATCTTCAATTTTGCGATCTCGATATTAAAACATTATTGATCTCAAAAACTATTTGATAAATGTTTAACCAGAAGTTGATTTAATTGAAAATTTATTTATGTCGTCGAATTTAGTTCTCTTAAGATCGATCAAATAACGCCATTTTCAATAGTTTTGATATATTTTCAATACTTTCCCCATGCTCTAGGAAAAAAGGCCATCATTTTTACATCTTATATGGTTCATAGATACTCATAAAACTCAAATTTTAGATTCCATCGATAGTCGGGAAATCGACCTTTCTTAACATCCTCCTTTGTTTTATTATTTGAACACTCTCTGTACTGACGAGACGTCTTTTAGACACAACGTTTAATTTTATATATTTTTATATTTTTTTATTTGTGACATGTTATAAGTTTTTTGTCATCGCTGTACTTGTTATGTCATCTTAATTATTACGTAAGAATTTCTTGCATACATTTTTTAGTGATTTAATCTTATTTTACTGCACTAGTATATATTAACGTTGTATGTAATTATTTTTTCAGTTCATTTGAAAATGACCTAAACCACAGGTCGAAACGTCATGTTATTTTGATTTCAATAAAGAAATTATTATCCAGTATTAGTCGTTTTTTATGAGTACATATTTAATGTGTGGTTTTACGTTTAGACTGGCGGATTGATACATCATACCAAATCAATTAAGACATTTTCAATCATTTTTTCTTTATTTAATATTTATTTATTTATATTATTTTTACACGGCCGCTACATACTGGCAACTGAGAAAAAATCACACGCATTAAACGAAGCGTGCACTGTGCGTGTGACTCCTTAGGTTGTCAATGCAAAGCGCGCTTACAAAGCGCTTTTCCCATCGCTTCGTCTGCACATCTTGAAACGTGGCGCTTTTGGGTGAGCGCTGTCACAAGGGTTATCGCCTGGCCGAGTAAAAAACTGTCCTGAAGAGTTGTCCTTCGCACGTTGGGAGGGAACAACCCGCGTTATCGACTTTTGTTTTGTCCTGTTTTACATTCTTGTAAGTTAGGGAATGACCACCAAAGGCCGTAGCGACTGTCTTAGTGCGGTGAGATTCTAAATGTAGAGCAAGATTCCACGAAAGAAAGATGAAGGCCCGAACGACTACCGCTACTCCGAGGAGGCCTACCTTCGGGAGTCGAGGTCAAGTATTGCGTTCCTGTCGATCACGCCATCCCCTGTATTACGTATATGTACACTGATACCGCCTACTTTTAGCCAGATTACCGAAGTCGGCGTCGGATCTAGACGGGAACCCGTACTGCAGGATGGGTAGAAAAACCCGTGGATTTACCAGAACAACGCGAGGAAATTTGGAGAACGGCCTGGCCAGCCTGCCAAATGCAACCCCAGGGAGACGACCACCCGGCTACTGCAGCGATAACAAGAGGGACAGTGATCAGGAATGGATGGGAGGATCAACGCAATCTCCACGCCAGCCAAATATTAAGGGGATGCGCAAGAAATCGGCGTGGAATGTGAAGGACGTTCCCGGAGAGGATTATTGTTCAGCACATTGTTAACAAGGGAGAACGACTTCTTAGGACGATCTCGCAGATACCGCCGAAGAAGACTACACTGTAAGCCGCCACTCAGATAAGTCATAACAATAAGTGCGAGTTAGGCTGGGATCGATACGCAAAATTACATAATGCCTTTTGTAAAGTAATTACTGTCTTGTAAGCGAGAAACTCTCCTCTCACAAATTTTAGTTACCGCGAGACCAGTCTATCTCATAGCGTTTATAACGTGACCTTTGGCGCGGACGCGCCCGACCGGGAAAGGTCAGAGAGCGCTCCGAATTTTTGTGTGTATTCTTGCGGCCGAACGGCGAATTCTTCGTCGATTCGTCATCACTCGGTAACGGGAGTCAAGAAGGTAGGCCAGGAGAACCAGATTGTTTTAGGGAGAAGAGGACCCCGAGAAACTAAGGAAGAAAGCGGCACGTGCGGAGCGGGGGTTGCGCGGCCGGCCCGGTGAGTAAACCCCATAATAAAGTTACGTACGACACCGAGTCGCGCAAGGGTAAAGACTGCCGGAACGGTCTCTACAGCCTCGGAGAGTCCAGTATTAGCAGCCCGAAAAAAGGAGGAATAAAGGCGCCTGCATCCCTCCACGAGGATGTTGCGCGTCAGCCCCCCTCTCTCTCCCCTCCCTCCCTCCCTCTCCCTCTTTCTCCTCTCTTCCTCTCTCTCCCCTCCCTCCCCTTTTTCCCTCTTTCTCTTTTCCCCATCCCCCTCCCTCCCTCCTCTCCCTTTCTCCCTCTCTTCCCCTCTCTACCCCTTCCTCCCTCCCACCCCTCTCCCTTTCCCTCCCCCTCTCTCTCGTACGGAGAAACCGGAGAGACGGTTGCATGTTTGGTGTGAGAACATGTAAATCGTTGAGAACCGGAAGATGCGCATAGGCGCTCTTCGCGAGTCAATTGTCGTGTATTAAAGTGTATTAAAGTATTGAGTCAATTGTCGTGTATTAAAGTGTATTAAAGTATTGAGTCAATTGTCGTGTATTAAAGTCGCCCGAGATTTGCGAAATGGCTGTGTAATCTTGCGATACTGTTCCGATACCGAATTCAGTCGGTTCATTATTCTATTACTGAGTTATGTTGTGAATTAATGTAAAACATAACTTTTAAAAAAAAGATAAACAAGATGCCAAGTCCATGCGCCATGTGAAAAAGTGTTAAACAAAAAAGTATTTTTAAGTAAAAAAATCTATCAATTGACAAAAATTTATGTTCTAAAATTAATATCTCTACAAAAAGTAATGTCCAATTATTGCGCGAATAAATAAACATTTTTATAAAAAATTAAAATTTAAAAACTTATGCAAATTTAAAATTAATATAAAATAAAAAGAAATAAAAAAATTTTAGTTAAAAAAACTGGGCGCGCTGCTAAATAATATTCTAATGATATTAAAATTAAATTGTTACTTTTAAACTCATTGCAGCGCGCCCAGTTTTTTTAACTAAAATTTTTTTATTTCTTTTTATTTTATATTAATTTTAAATTTGCATAAGTTTTTAAATTTTAATTTTTTATAAAAATGTTTATTTATTCGCGCAATAATTGGACATTACTTTTTGTAGAGATATTAATTTTAGAACATAAATTTTTGTCAATTGATAGATTTTTTTACTTAAAAATACTTTTTGTTTAACACTTTTTCACATGGCGCATGGACTTGGCATCTTGTTTATCTTTTTTTTTAAAAGATAAGTTTTTTTATGGTACAATTCTACATTTGCAAATTTAAATTTTTATTGATTCATTATACGACTCTATATATGTCTGCAACTTTAATTTTCCACTGGTACAAGTTTCTACTTTCACTTGGCGCAATTTTTTTTTTATTTCATTACTTTTGTTACGATTGTACATGGGTTTATAATCGATAATTTTTCATACAATTCTATTGTACATGGGTTTGCAATGGATAATTTTTGTTAATGGCGTGCCCTTAACTGGTCGCCTTTTTTTACCTTTTTTAAAGGTGAGTTTTTAGAGATTATATCATTCATTTTTGTATATGATAAGCATCTTTAAATAAATAAGCAAATTCAATTTTTCTGGCATTTTCTTATTTTAGGTACATATATATCCAATAATTAATAT